TTAAAAACTTCACAATCCTAAAATTTAAACATTTTGACCAGTTATCATTGTGGGCCCTTATTGTGTATTTAAACAGTAATGGCCACGTATTGTCTTCAGATAACACCCGTTTTTGTGCAGGTGAGTCGATCAAAATCATGTGCACAGCACTAAAGTGGCAAAAGTGTTTTTTCACGTGCAACTGGTCACGTGGCCATAATACCGCATGTGTTTTCATCCATACTTGTTAGCAGTCATTAACAAAAAAAGAAAAACACAAGAAAACAAAAGTCTTTACGGCCATTTGTCATGCCACGCCTTTCAAATGTGCAACGTGAACGTGCCATCGGCATGTTGCAGACGGGAACGTCCGTAGCTGAAGTCGCAAGGACGATGAGTTGTAGTCGACGGACTGTTTATGATTTACAGACGCGTCTACAGCAAACGGGTACCACCGATGATCGCCCTCGGCCAGGTCGACCACGTGTGACGTCACATGCAGAGGATCGTCAGATTGTCTTACGTCACCTCCGTAACCGATTTTTGACGGCTACATCAACCAGAAATGAACTGTTTAGGGGTAGACTGAGTGCGCAAACTGTTCGAAACCGTCTGAGAACTGCTCACCTTCAAGCACGACGGCCAAGAGGAATTTGAATTAGTTGGGTAGGAAGAAGGGGGTATTGTGCACCCCCCGGAAATCAATTTCTAATTGGTGTTTCTAAACTGGAAAAATGTCATAGAAAACGATTTGCTATGTTAAAAAAGTTGTCAAAATGTCCCACGTACCATTTTTATGCAAATTAGTCGCCATTACTGGAAAATGTATGTTTCGTCATATCTCAGCCCATAGTGCAGATAGCTCAATACTTAAGGTGTCTAAACCCATGTTTTGAGGGTCCAAGGGCATTATAAAACTATTGTTGAAGTGATCAGATCTGTCTAAGACATGTGAGTATGCTAAGTATTGCCGCCCTTAGCGAAAAATCTATTTTTCGCCATATCTCAGCCCATAATAATGATAACAGCAGACATTAAGTGTCCGGACCTATGTTCAAAGGGTCAAAGAACACAATAAAACTACTCGCGGGGTGATCTAATATGTCCTTTGCATGTCTCTATGCAACATAACAGCATGTGTACTGCATCTTTGGTGTTGTTTCAGCTTTGCTTTGCATTCCACATTAATGTCGGTGGTGGTAGAAATACATGTAGTAGTAGAGGTGGCTTTTGCCACTTCTACTACTACATGTAGAGGTGGTAGTAGAGGTGGTAGAAATTCTAGATTAGCATGTGTGGTGGTATTTTTCAGGTCTTATAATAAACAGTGGTAGTAGAGGTAGTAGACATTACAGATTGCAGATTAACAGTGGTGGTGGCAGTGTAGACATTTAGCAACCATGTCTAAAAGAAAACGTGAAAAGATCGCAGATCCTGGACCTTCCAAACACGCTCCACCTGCATGCATCCTTCATGTGCCATCTTTATCTGATCATGGTCGATTCACACCATTCAGTAATGTTAAAGGAACTGTTGCTGAAAAACTCTGGCAAATTCATACAATCCGGGAGAGACGTCTCCGCCAACCACATGGGTCCCCGTATCGTATGCAAGCAGTGTGCGACCACATCCCTGCATCTCTGCCAGATGACCTGCAAAGTGTTGGATATGATCGACAGTGTTATCAGCGGTTTACTGGCAACCTCCATCTTCTGGGAGATCAAACAGAATCGCAAGCATCAACCTCGCAACAACATCATTCCCCTCGTAGAAGGTCTTCCACTGGACCTATCTTCCCCCCAGAGTGCATATTCTGTGACAAACTAGAGGTCAAAGATGGTGACCGTAAAACTGAACGAGCTGAGCTGTTCTCGTCCTGGAAGAACAAAGAAAATGCATGGCGGCAAATCGAATCACGAGCTGAGAAAATGGGTCTAGATCAACTTCATCGACTGGTGAAAAACAAGGATCTCTTTGCTGTTGAGGCCAAACACCATCCATCGTGCTTGAGATCTTTCCGAACAGCATTTGCTAACTATGAACGTGGGATTCGCAGGGCTGAAGGGCCAAAGGATACGGAGCATGCCCGTGTGTCAGCTGCACATGAAAAGGCACTCGACTTCGTACTGGAGAACATTCAAATGCATGTTGTCCAACAGAATGAGGTCCTACTGCTGTCTTCCTTGCGCCTATTATATCCCGAAGAATTGAAACGCAATGGCTATGAGAACCAGAACTATCGTTCTGAGAAGTTGCTGAAACGGCTTCAAAATAACCCGATCAAAAATCAGGTCAACTTCACGAAGGTCCCGGACAACACAAAGGATGCCTTTTCATTCTGGCTTGTGCATAGTTCGGTTATCACTGTTGCCGATGCTCTTGCTCAAGCTTACGTCCTTGGAAGTGCAGACAAGTACCGGGACGTCGCTCTCCGTCTTCGTCGTAACATTCTGCAGGCTTTCGAAGATTCAAAAGACCAACTGTGGCCGCCAACATCCGACAATATGGAACTCAGTTGCGAAAATGTCCTGCCTCCAGACCTCGTCCGATTCCTTAACATGGTTTTGGCCGGCAAAGAACAAGTGGAAACGCAGGAGAAGTTGAATCGTATAGTGTTCTCCATCGGGCAAGACTTATGCCGTGCTGTATCAGAGGGACAGTGGAAATTACCAAAACACGTGCTTCTCTGTGTGACTGTCAGGCACTTGTTCAGAAGCAAGCAGCTCACCACGATATTGCATCGGCTTGGCCACTCTGAGAGCTATGACTTTGGCTTGGAGTTGGAAACTGCACTGGCCAAGGCGACGGATGCAGCCTCAACCCATCTGACACCCCAGATTGTGACAGGAGAAGGAAACGTTGTATTCCATTCAGAGTGGGACAATTTGAACAAGACCACAACAAATGTGCATGGCAGCAACATTGTAAACAGTGCTGGGGGAATCATGGTGCAGGAGGTCAAGCCTGGATTTGAGAGCACTAGGGTCCGAACTTTGCCTATTATCGGCAAGTCACAGCAGCGAAGCCTGAAGGTAGACACGCCAGGAACTCTCCCACCGCTGCACTTCACTCGCATTGGCCCAAAGTTTCCCGAAGGCTCATCATACACACCCCCTGCAGGGAATGACGCAGTCTATGCTGCTCAGATGAAAGAGTACAAGTTATGGCTGTTCAGCAGGTACATCGGAAGCAGTGGCAAGCAGCCTGTACCAGGACTAGGAGGCTTCACCTCTGCAACTGGTGCCCCACCACCAAGAAAATCAACGGTGGACTACTTCACACCCATCCATCAACCTATAACGGATAACTGCGGCGTCTACGAGCTACTGAAGCGGTCGGAGGCAGCCACGGCTGAAGTGGGTCAGACGTGGGTCCTGAATACATTCGATCTAGGTGTCTGCATGAAAGCCCTACCCATCATCTGGCGATGGCCAGATGAATTCGCTAGTCACGTTGTCACGATTGGGCCATTCCACACGTCTATGAATTACATCGGTATGCTCACCGGCCACAAAATGGCTGGCTCAGGATTTACAGAGATTCTATTTGAGGCACAGCTGGTCACAAGTGGATCCCTCAAGAATGTTATCAGTGGGAAGGCCTATGCCAAGTCTATTTTTTGTCTCAAAAGTGTGTGTGAAGCAATGGAGAGGCTGTTGATTGAACAATTTGCAGAGGAGGAGAACATCACCTTCAGTGACCCGGTTGCTCTTCTGAACATGACTCAGTCTTGCAATCGACAGAGTCTCAACGAAGCCCTCAATGACCCTCACACTGGAACATTTCTTGACAGGTATCACGCATATGAGGAAAAGGTTCTCAATGGCCACCTGGGGAAGACGGCAGCTTTCTGGATGTCATTTATCAGACACTGTCACCTAATCTTCATGCTCCTCCACTCCGTGAAGACTAACAACATCCAGCTGTTTCACAAGTGTAATTGAGAGATGGCGGCACTCTTCTTTGCATTCGATGGGCAAAACTATTCCAGGTTTGTAGAACTTTGATATGAATCTCCATAACCTTATGTTCTTATCTAATGATTGCTTATATCATGAATACTTTTATCGACAGATATCTAACCTGGCTGGAGGTCTACCTAACAAACAATGGAAGAAACATTCATGCATTTTGCAAAATCCCCAGGTAAACCATTAATGTCATCCAGTAACATCTATGCATCGATCATGAAATGTAGAAAGAACCTGTACATACACTTTATGTTGTCAATGCAACATTTGATGGATGCTTTCAGGTGGCTTCGCAGGACTGTACAGTCAGTTTGGAGCATATCAGAGATGGTGCCGCACAACCTCAGCGCGGGCCCAGTTCTATGAAAGAACCCTCGAGATGGTCAACCTCATCGACGATCCAGAACGCCCAAAGGCAGGAAGACATCGTGAGTTGGAAAAAGCTGAGGTCAAGAAGGGTGAGGAAGCCGTTCAGCACGTCCTTGCTGCGGTCAGTAACTTCACAAATCCGTTCACCATCGTTGAAAAGGACAGGATCTACTCATTGGCTTCCGGTGCTCCTGTTCCCGCTGATGTTGAAGTAGACGTGCGCCAGGCAGAAGCTGTGGGAAAGGCCGCCAAAGCTGACTTCATCAAACGCCTGCAGAGCAGAGAGCCTACAAGCTTCTTCGACCCTATCAAGAGGAAGAAACTGAAGACAATGGAAGCTGGCAACAAGATAATCACCATCACCTCCTCACACGGAAAGGTAATAAATTCGAAGCCTGTGTCCTATTCAATACTTTATTCATTGTCTTTCAAAGGCTGCGTCAAACTGTTTTACTAGGTAAACCTTTACTTTCAGGTCATCCAGTATCAGGAGCAAAGCAACCTGGCATTCCTACTCCTCGTCAAGTCTCAGAGTCTAGATAAACCACTGGACTTGGCAGAGCTCATGAAGTACTGTCTTATGGCTGTGCCTCCTAGCCTTGGGTCACCAGATGGCTTTTTCTCTAAGACCAACAAAGCCATCCTCTTGCACTACCTTCTGGAAGGCGCCATCCCAGAAGATCTGCCCTACCCCAAGGACGCTCTGTTCATACAGGATGGCATGGCACTGCTCCATACCATTACCAACCTTCCCCCAACCTGTGGTGAGATATGCCTACAAATCCTCGATCAGATGGTAGCCAAAAAGCACTTTTTGTTCTCGACTGACAGTTATCATCCCGGATCTATCAAAGCCCAAGAGAGGCTGAGGCGCGGCAGCTCAGAAAAGATCATTCTAGCTGGACCAGCGACCAGAAAGCCATACGACTTCAAGAGCTTCTTTGCAAACGACGACAACAAGAAGCAACTATGTCAGCTCTTGTTGCGCGATTGATAAACAGGCCGCTTCTAGACTGGAGAGAACAAAGATGGCAGTCCTCATTGTGGAAGGTAGAGCCCATCAACTTGTTATAACGGATGGCGAGGTAAGATGGTATTCAATTACTAGTCTACTTCCGTAATATTTTGTAAACGTCAAGTCAATTTAAGTGTTCCTATCAAAATAATTAAATACAGTGCCTCTTTGTTCCAGGTGGAGGTGCAGGACCTCCCCTCAATCTACAGCAACCAGGAAGAGACCGATACAAGGGTGGTATTGTACCTTCATCATGCCGCTGCACTAGGATACAAAGACGCTGTGGTCAGAACCCCAGATACAGACATCTTTGTGATTCTACTGCATCATGCCCATTCAATCAAGTTGACTGTGTACCTGGAAACAGGATCGGGGAAGCACAGACAGCTTGTCAACGTATCTGACCTTGCTGAGTCTCTAGGAGAAGACTACTGTGCAACTCTCCTTGCCTACTATGTCTTCAGTGGAGAGGATTGCACAAGTTCCTTTAAAGGCAAGGGAAAGGTTGGGCCACTGAAAAAGCTGGAAAAGAATCCTAGGTTCCACAAGGCCTTCAGGCAACTGGGTGACGACTGGAACGTCAAGCCTCAGGTGATGAAGCAGCTAGAGCAGTTCACATGTCTGATGTACGGACAGTGTCGTGAGTCTTCTGTGAACGCCGTCCGTGTCAAGCTGCTCTGCAAAATGGTGGGAGAGGACAAGAAACTCACTTCCAAGTCTAAGGTCGACCTAGCTCGCCTTCCCCCATGCCAATCTGCTTTGGAGCCACACATTCAGCGTGTGAACCATCGGGTTGCTTTGTACAAGCGAGCTGACCAACCTTTTGTGGAGAAACCCAAGCCTTACGAGGAGCAGCAGGGGTGGATGAGAACTGACCAAGGAGTCCTGGAACCAATGTGGTCAAATGGTCCTGTCCTACCAACCTCGCTGGTTGATCTCCTGGATGCTGGTGATCGGGAAGGAGATGAACATGTTGTTGATGAAGATGACGATGAAAATGATGAGTTTGACAGTTTAGATGAAAGTGATGATGAGTGATGAGTAAAGAATTTGACTGTAACTTACAGAATTGTATGGCCCAGTCCTAGCTGTTCTGTTGCATACTTAGCATGCTTGGACATGCTAGCATACATTCTACATGTACAAGGACACTTATAATGTTATTGTGTTATAGTGTTATTGTGTTCTTGAACCATCAGAAAATAAATTTGTTTTAAAATATATATACATGTATTTATGTTTTTATATTCCTTGACCTTCAGAACATAGGTCCATACGCTCTATGTCTGCAGTTATCATTGATATTGGCCAAGATATGGCGAAAAATAGAGTTTTCACTAATGGCTGCAATAATTTGCATAATAACACATCTGATCATTTCAAGAATAGTTTTATAACGCTCTTAGACCCTCAAAACATGGGTTTAGACACCTTAAGTATTGAGCTATCTGCACTATGGGCTGAGATATGACGAAATATGCATTTTCCAGTAATGGCGACTAATTTGCATAAAAATGGTACGTGGGACATTTTGACAACTTTTTAACATAGCAAATCGTTTTCTATGACAGTTTTCCAGTTTAGAAACACCAATTAGAAATTGATTTCCGGGGGGTGCACAATACCCCCTTCTTCCTACCCAACTAAATCAAGTCGTCTTCAGTGATGAATCCCGATTTAATCTTCGATTTGCTGATGGTAGGGCGAGGGTGTGGAGGCGCAGTCATGAACGTTACGCCCAGTGTTGTGTACAGGAAGTTGACAGATTTCGAGGCGGAAGTGTCATGGTGTGGGGTGCTTTCTGTGGCAATGCACGTTCTAGGCTTCTTGTCATGGAACCGTGGCAACCTCAACGCTGCTGCTTACCGCGACCAGGTACTGGCACCAGAACTTCTGCCTTTTATGGTAGCACATGGACCCGCTTTGATCTTCCAACACGACAATGCCAGACCCCACACAGCAATTTTGACAAGGAATTTCCTTCAGAATGCGGGAGTCATCGTCATGGACTGGCCGTCAAGGTCTCCCGACCTCAATCCCATCGAACACGTCTGGGATGCTCTTGGCAGAAGTCTGGCACTCTCCAGAATCAATCACAGAATATGCAAGATATTGGCACCATTTTGCAGCAATAATGGCGTCGTCTTCCCAATCATGTACTCACAAGCATCACAAGGTCCATGCGGAGGCGTTGTGTGGCAGTTGTCAACGCACATGGTGGCCATACACGCTACTGAACTTGTGTGCCATCAGATTCTCGTGTTTGGGACTCATGATTTAAACTGTTGATGTTATTACCGAATACCGTAGGTGCTTGGAACAAATTATGGTTACCGCCGTTAATTAAATTCCTTCTTTGGACATTAGTGATTAAAAATTACCTTCTCTGATACATTTGTCCGTTGTATATCATATATGGGATAACTTTTAAAAATGTGAAGTTTCTAATTTGACTCAGTATATAAGAAACTTTGACAAAAATTACCCAGATATTTAAATGACAACTTCTCATGCAATATTACTTGGGGTGACGTTCCTTTTGCGGTTCAGTATATATAGTGGGATACACACATTTCATGTACACGTTAAGAACACCCAGCCAGCAGAATAATGACGACATCTTACAAGATTAGTGCAGTCCATCACATGCATCCACACACGTGATAGCTGAAACGTTGGTCACCTACCGGAACACATTCAATATGAAATATGTATGTAAGAAGATGTTTATATGGATCCAGAACCCAGGATACGACACATAGTGTTCATGATTTATTATGATATCATATTTTAATAAGCGAAATCTATTGTTGTGCAATTGCTTTCATGCGCAGAGTATATGTAAACCTTTCACAGAAATATCTGCAGCAATATGTTTTAAAATATTGAGGTCGGCAAGAATGGATGCCAGGTATAAGCTTTCATGTCTCTTCCAAAGGAGGTTCCGCTCACAAGTCACGGACCTTTACTTCAAATAGGAAGTCTGACATTTGACTCCGTCCAGGCGCGGACAAGAATAGGTTTCTATGAAATCTTCGTCTAATCTGTCATTCAAACCATAGTGCATATGCATGTACAAACTTTTTCAGTGTGCGGTGACGATAACTTTGGCATTCCACACAGAAGTTAGTTAGCACATAGCTATGATGTAAAGCTACACCTTCCCCCGCAAAGTACATAACCACCAGCTGTTGTATGCTTCATGCATGTAAATACGTTGTGCTATATATATGAACATGGTAAAGGATATATTGATAAATGTTGCACTATATTAGAAGGGGGAATTCCCCGGTTAGATCTAAGGCGCTTTTGAAACAGATAGCGCACTTCCTCGTGTGTTTACTATTGGCGATTAATACCTACGCGCAATTATCTACTTATGTTTACTGGCATGTCTAGCAACATGTATGTGTGCCACCTCTTGGGTACAGACAACAGTCTATCAGCGTCTGTGGCGAGGTGAGACCCAGCGATCAGGAAATGTAGGACACTTTATCACTCCTCTATCATATCCAGGGGAATGCGGTATGTTGCGGATCGCGGTAGGTCGACGTGACCTGCCAGAGGGCAGAGTGACCCCGCAGGAGGGGCGGGACTGCTGCAGGAGTACCTGACATTCATCTAGTGTCTTAACTGTTGGTGTACGTGTTTTCTTCGCGAGTGTTGGGGTCCTGGGAGTTGAGGATCTTTCAAGAGCTGTACATTAACACCATGCATTCTTCTACTACCGTGTTAGCTAACTGCTTTAAGGGTTGAAACATATACAACTTAAGAATGCTTTATTATTTCAGGTACTGATGATGTAAAACGTAAATGCAACATGTTTATGTTTATTGAGGGACAGACAGCACTGAAACAATATAAAAAATTGTAAATTAATGATACGCGTTATATTTTCCTAATACATTAAGTATCTTGACATAAAACAAACTCATATGTCAACACTAGCTGTATATTTACCATATTTATATGTTTGTTTTGCTTGAAAAACCAAGATTCATAATATACCCAATATAGTACTACTATGGCTGTCAATATTATATAAAACGCTAAGTGGATTTGGTTTATAAAGCACTTAAAACACATCTAATGATACGGCGACACTAAAACTGAAGGAGAGATCGGAAATGCGTGTTTGATGCGTATAGTTAGTTAATCATACGTGTTTGTATACACAAATACTCATGCTGGCATCGCCGAGTTTCAAGAAACATTCGTTGTACTATTTCAGTTGTGATTTTTTGTTTGGGAGCGTAAGATGCCATATCCCAATATGTTGATATCCTTTAACAGCTGACATTTCCGTGTACACCACTATGTGTGCTTCATGATAAAGAGCAAATTAGCAAATCTCTCTGCTCGTAAAGCAATTAACCCGTTCATAACCGCGCATGAGAATAACATATTAATGACACTCATAAAGTCATTAGTGCACACTGCTCTATAAATGCGATATTATCTGTGAATTTAAACATGCGTTTGTCACCTTGTAGTTGGTTTTCCACATTCTAAACCATAATTTCCCTTGGGTGTTTGACAAATGACACAGGCCGACATAGTGAACTGTCTGATCCTGCTGCACTGAAGCGAGATGTACTCACAACATTTTATTACTGCCAACACCTCGAGCTTAGACGTCATGAATATTTCCACCTCTAAATGAATATTTAATGACTCGCACAAAAAAGCCGTAAACTGCCGTGCAAACTGTGGCAGTAAAGAACACGATCTATTTAAATTCGCTTCGCCCCATCGCCAGGGCCTCCACCTGGCGTCGTGAGCTAGTCACCTTCGATTTAACTGCGTCCTTTTCTCTGTGGTTCATCAAGGGAGCTTCGCATGGCACAGCACAGGCATGGGCCACGCATGTATTTAAAATCCATTCCTAACGTTATTAGAGGCTTGGGTCACCTCGCTGGGATCTTTTCGTGAGACTCATTGACCCAATAGCCGTGTTGAATCTGTGTGACATTGATAGTGTTAAACGTGGTGCTGCCATGATAACGAGCGCCTGTATTCAGCACTGTCGCCTGCTATTTATCAGAGACTCAGTAATTATCTCACCTCACCCTGTTGTTCACCGCATCATGTTTTGGCATCAAATATAAAACGTACGTACAACACATGCCGTCCGCCGTGCACACCCTGTACAACATATGACGTCCACCGTGAACACCCTGTACAACATATGACGTCCACCGTGAACACCCAGGACAACATATGACGTCCACCGTGAACACCCTGTACAACATATGACGTCCACCGTGAACACCCAGTACAACATATGACGTCCACCGTGAACATACAGTACAACATATGACGTCCACCGTGAACACCCTGTACAACATATGACGTCCAGCGAGCACACCCTGTACAACATATGACGTCCACCGTGAACACCCAGTACAACATATGACGTCCCACCGTGAACGCCCTGTACAACATATGACGTCCACCGTGAACACCCAGTACAACATATGACGTCCCACCGTGAACGCCCTGTGCAACATATGACGTCCACCGTGAACACCCAGTACAACATAAGACTTCCACCGTGAACACCCAGTACAACATATGACGTCCACCGTGCACACCCAGTACAACACATGACGTCCCACCGTGCACACCCTGTACAAAATATGACGTCCCACCATCACGACCCCCTCAACCATGCTCTATACCCAACTCCCACCCTACCTCGACTCAATCAACCATGCCCCATAAGAAAAACCTCTCACCCCGACCCTACCGACCCGCCCCCAAAACCATGCCCTGTAACTCGCTCCCATCCTATCCCGACCCCCTCAGCCATGCCCTATAACCCCCCCCCCCCCCCCCCCCCCCCCAACACACCCCTACACACACACACACACACGTGTGTTAAACATAATAAATCATTTGGACCGTCCACCCGCTAAGCTGATTGTGTCTGATACAGAGAGAGTCACAGTTTTAGTTACTTATAAACCCAAATGTTGTTTAACCTTCTAGAATTAAGAAGGTCCACACAGATGCAACTCATCGTTGATATCGACAAT